ACCCACAGCGCACTGTCATGAGTTGCTAGACATGAACTCCCCAGAAGCGAGAAGGCCGTTGGTAGACATGCCCCTATCTTCAATTATTTTCACTCTTGCTTTCATACCCAGGAACACGAGAAAGCTGTCATCAATAAAGTCGAGAAGGCTCGGGGGTGCTCCCAAGGCATCGACTCCCGTGACTGGGGCGGTCGAATGTGAAGAATCAAGAATCGGCTGACTCGGGACCAGCGGATGAAATCAAGAGTCGATGAAACTGATGTTTTCGAGTCTGAGAGTGGAGTCAGTCGGTGTTCTTTGGTTTTCGAACACATCGGGGGTGCCCTTTTTTGTGTCCGAGAATCTGGTGTCGATCCCCTTCAATCAGCCAAGGTCCCCCTTCAATCAGCGGCACGTGGGAGGAACAAAGTCGTATTCAGAAACTGCGCTTCGTTTTCCGAATTCCACCGTGACCCACTTGGGAGTATGGCCCCAGCGGCTGGTCTGACTGCCTCTTCAATCCAGCCGCGGCTTCTCTTCAGATGATTTGAGTAGGATCCAAGTGCCAGGACCTTCCCAGTGACCTCTGAAGAGGACCTTTTCAAGGCCTTTTAGTGACCTCAGCCACTGGGATCTCAAGTTAGGTCACTGGGAAGGTCCTGGTGTTTGTTTCTTTTTGGAGATGTTTTTTTGCTCTTGGAGTGTTTGGAAGATCTTCAGCACCAAGTTCCAGATCCCTTTTCTCAGTCGTCACAGGTGTGTTGGTCCACTAAGCATTGAACAAATCGTATTCAGGTGTGTTGGTCCATTAAGATCCATTAAGCATCCTTTTTGAAAAGAGTCGCTCTTCTGGTGGGCGAACGCAGATGGTTTCATTGGGTGTGCCCAGCGTATTTCTTGATCGACCAGAAACCATGACTCGATTGAGGTCCGCTGGCAAGGTCCGCCGGCGAGGTCCGGTCTTTCAATCGCACCCGCTTAGTGGTCGAACTCACTCCGGAGGTCGAACTCCCGGGATCCTCCAGAAGCAAATTCTGCTCTTTCCATTCCCTTTCCTTCTTTCAACTGATCATTCTGTTCTTTGAACTCCGGCCGTTCCTTCCTTTCAAAGAACATGGGCCGTTCTGGCGGATGTTCGGATCCTTCTGTTCGTGACACCACACCTGACGGAGCATGGCGCGGTGGCACCGCGCACCGGACTGTCGCACCGGACGACGCCTTCACCGGAGGCAGCCAAAGAGGCTGCTGAGACCCTGAAAGCCACCAAAGAGGTGCGGTGATGCAGGTTCAGTGATAACTGGCGGACTTGGCTCTGGAATAGACCAAGGCTTTGCAGATGCAGATGTATGAAATTCATGGTTGGGTGGTGCT